GGAAGCCAAGGTTAAGCCACTCCATATCGTACAGTGTACTTATGACGAAAGACTGGGAAATATTGTTTGTTTTAAGCAAAATTGCCCAGAATTTATGCAGTACTTCAAATTTCTTACAGTATAATTTGTGTACCCTATTCTAGGGTAGCAAATCATCCTTTAAGTACTTCTAGGTAAATATAAATACATATTAATTTCAAACAAAATACAGTGAAATTCCATTTCATTACAGGGGAAGTAAGTATTATAACAGTGTTACCTCTTTGTCTTATGATGACACATTTTTATCCTGATGGGAGTGCTCTCTTCTAAAATCACATTGTCTCAATCAGTTTCTACCATGATCCAGTATCTCGTTATCTCCTCTTTAGTAAAAAAAAACAAACCTTTTTAAATATCCTTCTAAAAGTCATAAAGTGAGAGCTTATATGGATAACCATATTTCTGTTTCCTTACCTGTGCAGACATCAGTGATAATTCCATTGTCCCGGGGTCAAAGGTTGCCAGCTAGAGCGTCTAAAGAAGGCGGTCTTTAAAGTAGAAGTCAGACAGCTGACAGCAAAGAAAATAAAAGGAGAAGAAAAACGAGTAGGAGGGCTTCAAAACGGCACTGCTGTGCTTCACTCAGTGTACTTGTGAATGCTTTTCATGCTTCACAGAAGAGTTTCTTCTCTCAATACATGTCTCTCTCTCTCTCTCTCTCTCTCTCTGTGGATGTGCATGTTGCACATAAAGCATGCTGATATGGCTTTGGCACTAAACTCCACGTCTTCCTGTTACAACTTACTTTGGATTGAACCCCATAATCCCAAAGGTGGATCCTTGAATTATGAATGTATTGCGTGCATGTTTTCTTTAACCCCATTATAAAGGAGTCACAGGCTGTGATTAAATCATGTAGATAATAAATATTTCCGCTATGTGTTATAGGTTATTATTTTGTTATAGTGTCTCTTAAAAATGTATTTTTGGCTCTTTGGCTCTTTGGGTGAGGGAAACCTTTGACTATAAACAAAAGTTTCCATCTCTGGTTTGTGTTTAGTATCTTTTGAAATGCAGCACACATTTAAATATGCATTTACATGTTTAGAAAGGTCCTAAAACAAAGTTTAAAATAGTCTCTTGGAGGATTTCCTCTTTATGTTTTATATTGATTTAGGTAGGGTAACAATATCTTAAAGATTAATTTAAATCTATCATTAAAAATTTCTGAAAAACAAAATGCAATAACTTTCCTGTTATTCAGTTCTTATTTTCAAACACTAAGTACTGATGACCATCCAGAAACAGCTAATTGTTTCCTGCTTTATATACCCCATGTTTATTTCAGCAATAATGTTTTCACATCCAAATGTACCAGAGTGCAACAACAATAATTACACTACCTGGGACTCTGTATGCCGTACAAAGAGATACTTTTTGATGATGATACAAATTGCCTCTAATGACTGTAGACCTCTATAGTACTTTGTGCCCTTTGCAGTGATTTTCAAATGCATGACAAAATAGTCCCTGCTCTAACCCGTGTGTGTGTGTGTGTGTGTGTGTCATAATTTAGCGTGAGAAAATTACTCCACTTTTATGTGCCCTGCATGTCCATGTGTAGGCCGGGCTGTTTCAGAGCTTCGTTGTGCAGTACAGAGTTTGTCACGGTGCCTGAGGGCTGGTGACTCCAGCTGTCAGTGGAGAGAGTGAGACACAAAGTCAACTTAAACAAAAGAGTGACAAGTGAAATGTGTACGATTCGAGAGAGAGGAAGCAGATCCACAGATTGAATCAGTTCGCTGCCAAAATTAGTTTGTGTGCTCACATCATGTTTATCAGTTAAAACCCACAGGAAGAAATGTGGTTTTACTGGGTACATTTCTTTATCACACTTCCACGTCCAATCACTGTAAAACACAACTTTAACAAATACAATAAAAAAGACATCATAGCCACAATTTTTTTCACATATTGTTTTTTTTAATAAGGCTGTTGTGTGAATGGATGAATGAATGAATTAAAAGTGCTATATATATAATAAACACTGTGAAACCCCTAATATAGAGAGTAAGTTCTTTACATTTCTTTTAATCTTTTTAATACGTGCATAATCGTTTTTCATAGACTACACAAAATGAGGGAAATTAGCGCTTTAAGGGTGATGCATTAAATGTGCGTCACTTGATTTATTTATTTATTTATTTATTTTCTTTGCCACTTGGGGGCAGTAGAGTCGCTGCACAGTCTCTGAATGGTGTGACCCCCGCATCTTTTGTTCACTGTCGTGTAAGCAGCCACGGAACGCATTCTGGGGGCTGGGTGTTGGCTGTTCTTGATTCCTGTAAAGGCCAAGCTATTTTATGTAAATCATCTCCAATGCTGTGTCTGGAAACTCCCCAAATGCTTTTAAACTAATCGTATTTATCTGAATAAAAGTGAATAAAAGACAGATTTTTCTTTTGTCGTCAAACATTCTGAAGAACACATTTGCTGAATGATGTATGTAACGTTAAAAAAAAAGCACTGATTAGCCCACGAAAAAGTATTATTCCAGTCAGACATAGCTGGGTGTTCTAGGAAAGGAAAAAAAGGAAAGTCATCTTTTGTGATAATGCATAGTGACATGTCCATCAAGTGTCGATCAAGCGAGAAGAGGTGTGTACAAAAACACCCATAAAATTACTGATACAGCTGATGAAATCTCATACGGTGTTGGGCAGATAGGATATTATGTACATATGAGAACAAGCTAGAGCTAAAATATTTAGTAACAGGTCATAAAACCAAAACTAAAATCTGAAACTAGCTAAAATAAACTTGTTCACAGACTCAGGTTGCACAAATATTTCAGAAATCTGCGAAAAACAATCGCAAAACTTGAAAGTTATTGTGGTATTTATTAGTTATATAACAAATCCGAGCCATGCCGGAAAAGTCAAGCATATAGCTATATGTAGGCGTGCGTGTATGTGTACCATGTATACCGGGTGGGCCATTTATATGGATACACCGTAATAACATGGGAATGGTTGGTGATATTAAAGTCCTGTTTGTGGCACATTAGTATATGTGAGGGGGCAAACTCCTCAAGATGGGTGGTGACCATGGTGGCCATTTAGAAGTCGGCCATCTTGGATACAACTTTGTTTTTTCAATAAGAAGAGGGCCATGTGACACATCAAACTTATTGGTAATGTCACAAGAAAAACAATGGTGTGCTTGGTTTCAACGTAACTTCATGAGTTATTTCTAAAGCCAGCGATAGTAACACGAAATTCACACTTTTATACATCTTGTTTGATTTTCTTGCTTAATATTTGGAAGTCAGTGGCACATCTCTGACTAGGCTCACAGCCCGAGATTCTCATTATTTTTAACCATCTAGTCTTCAGTCAAAACAACGAGTTACTAAATGGTGTGGATTTAAATGACTTCATGCATGCTTCTTCGCTTGCTTTCACTAACTCAGATGGTGTTGCAACTGTAGCAGTTTGTCTTGAAACAGCAACTTTTATATCAAAATTTTGTGTTTATTCTCAAAATGATCAATAATATATTTTTTTTAATGTGGCCCTAATACTCTGTCACACTTTCCTGTCGTGCCACTCAAAAACAAGGCATTACGGGTGATGGTTCATGGGCAGCCAAGCAGTCAAGTGTGATCACATTCCAAGTCTTGTCTATTTTACAGTAAGTCAGAACACAGAAAAGCAACAAAAAAAGTAAATGTTGGTTCAGAGTGTACTTGTGTGAATAATTGAGTAGAAAATGTTTTTTTAAGTACTAGTCCATTTTTAAAAAGTCACTTTAAGATACATTTAGTACAGTTTTAGAGTCTTATTAAATTTATTTCAGTCTCACTTTCACTTAAATACATATCATCACCTTTAATCTCCAAGATCCCAACGTGGATAGGTATTTTTAGATCAGTGTGACCAATTACAACATGACAAATGACTAATTATAGTTACAGTGTAGATATGTGTCTAAGGTTTTCTACAGACAATTTTGATGTAAGCAGTGATTGCTACGGTAACGTACAGTAAGTTTTTCCAGTTCAATGAAGCTGACTGACAGTCTGATAAGCACTGTAATGTCCAGAGTCACAGAGTTTAAAAAAATCACTGATGTTTTGTTGTTGTTAGTTAATGGAGTGAACTGTAGTTGGTTTGCAAACTAGATGTGTGTAAATGTTCAGGCACCAAAATACACAAACATCTTGGTAACTCTGTAGCCTCCTGGTGCTTTCAGAGGAGAATCATACTGTTATTATATACCACTGTGAGTCTCTGCATTCGGTCTTTTCTATAGCAACATTACAGATGGGCAGTATGCAGGGAAGTTCAAACGGCTCAGAAGAGAGAGGTCGTCACATTCACTACACATACTAAATTAATGAGCCAACTTATTAGCTTAATATAACTTCCAGCTCTGTCTATAAATGCCCCCATTGTCCAATAACTGGTTATGTAATAGCCTAAGTGTTTAATCTAATTGCACGCCTTGAGGTAATTCCAGACAGGAAGAAATCTGAATGTGTCAGTTTTCATAACATTACTCCTACTGATATTATATTTTATGTCATATCCTTATTATCCATACTAGATCATAAAACAATCACCAGTTACTATTAAAGATCAGCCCTGTTATATGAACCGAATTTTATCAACCCATAAAAATAACCATGAGGTGCGCGTGTAATAGGGAGTGTCTGTTTCTGTACAGATTACTAATACATCTTCCATAGCTTACAGGACAGGAACATTGTGTTTTGTTTTGTTTTTGTTGAAAACTACACAATAAAAATGTATAAAATAATTACTTCATAAGACTATGGTCAAAATAATTACCTGTTACTCACTGTTAAAACTGTTAAAATAAACATACTGGATAAATATGTGCTATTATGTGTAGAAGGTTATTAACACAGTCACAGTCGCCCATGATTAATGCAGCAAAGCAAAAACCAATAGAAACGTTATCGTGGGCATAGACGTGAAGAAACCTCGACACAGCAGACGGCGGTGTTCACCTCTCACGTCCGTTCATCGTTACATTTACAAGAGAAGAAGAAGAAGAGCGTATTCACTTCCGTGTAAAATTTCATGAATGACGACCACAGCTTCCCCAGTGTAGCTCGCTAACTAGTACCAACTTCGAGTAGTGTCGCTTGTTTGACAGTTGCCGCTACCGCCTGCTTGTTCTAAAATGGATTATACTGCAACTCAAAGTGGGTTCAGACAGCGTAAGTTACGTACGTAATTTTCTCATTAGCTCAGTTCATACGTTTGCCGGGTGCATGCACACATTTGATGCTGGCTACTGTTAGCTCGCTCTTATCAGCCGGTTGAGACTACCTGCTGACGTTAAACAACTTGTGTAAACACGGACAGTTAAACGGTGAATTTAAGCTTAACTTTCAACTTTAATTAAAGAGCTTTAATTATATAATAGGCGCCGACAATATGTGTTGACACTGCTAACTAGCTAATTCGTCTCCCGTTGCACGGGCTGGGCTGGCTAACGGTCCCCTCTGATGACGTTACTTATTCGGAGTCTTTTTTTGCTCCCTCTATGCTGAGCTTTGTTTGTTTAGGAGCCAGAGCTTGCAGTAAACAGTGCTTATTTGAACTCTGATCAGTTTAATGATTAGTAATGAATGTACAGTTTTATTTTTGTGCTTTTAAAAAATGTGTCAAGCCACTGCAGAGGGGGCCCTCTTGAAGAAGCTTGCTTTCTTGCTTAAAGTAGAACAGTTTTGTAATATTTACATATTTGTTTCACTTTTTTAGCTTCTTTATTTCATTCTTAAGACTTCTCTTTTCCGTGTGCTGCTCTTTACACGGGAGAGGAAAACAAGGTCTAAACAAGCAGTAGGCGCCTGAGGATGCAGTAATCGGGTCTTGTGATAAGTGTCTGATTATATGAATAATACTAAAGTGAAATGACTTAAAAGACTGTCTTCTGTACTGAGATTTCATACTATGAATTTATTTTGTGTAAATAGACGTGTACTTTCCTTAACAGTTCTCTTTATAGCTAATTCAGACCAGCTTCTTCAACAGCACACTGTGGTCTAAAAACTTTGGGTGTTCTTAGTCAATTGCTTGTTAACTTTTACACGATCCCAGTTGTTGCTATCATACATAATAATAATAATATACTTTACTGTTGTTATGCAGATGATACAAAGTTGTACCTGTCTTTTTCCTCTGATCTAACACCTCTTCATAATTGCTGGATGTCTCGAAACTTTTAAGAACTGAACTGAAACGGGATGGAAATATTTGTTTGTGAGTCCAAAAACTTAGAGACAGATTTTTTTCTCATAATTAAAATCCCCTTCTGAGAACAGTTAAATGATTTTTCTACCACTTAACGAATAGTAAAAGTTAGAAAATCCAGATCTCAAACTGGCTCTGAGAAATTAGTCCATGCATCTGTAACGCTTTATTTACAAGATTATCCAAATCATCAGAAAGACGGATTCATTTTGGCCCAATTACAGCAACCAGTGTCTTTACACTAATATTGAAATTTGAGCATATTACCCCTGCACTGAAGTTACTTCACTGGCCCCAGTTAAATGCCGAATTTTCTTTAAAACCCCTTTTTTAGGGGCTCTCTTATCGATGTCTCTCCACTGCACCTGTATTCACCAAAACAGGTGAAATGGGTTCACAATAGTTCATGTTTCCTAACTGGACAGATTGATTACCCTTAAGGATATCCATCATGAGTGTTTTCTCCTTCTCCAAACTCCGTCTTTTTACACAGAGCCCAGTATGCGTCTAAGGAATAGTCCAGGGGACAGTCCAGATGGCAGTCAGCTGTTTGAGGATACGAGCAGAGCTGGGCCTGGACCACAGGCAGGATACAGGTGGGACTCCTGCCAATGAGGATGAAGCTGTTTTTTCCTTCTCAAGAAGAAGCCTTTGACTGTGTTTTTACAAATACACTCAGTGCCAGAAGGGGGCGACAACATTCCACACCTCATGTTTTACTTTATCGAGCTCATGTCTTTTGTCTTCTGCTTGCATGTGTTGTAAATATTGCTTTTGCTGATTAGATCATCATGTTCACCGAGCTGATCCCCTGTCTTGTGTCACATTGGCAGGAACCAGCAGGCCGGCCCTCAAACTGCAGGATTTCCTGGTCAGACCCTCCTGTCAGAGCCCATGTCCAATCTGGCCATGGCATATGGCAGCTCGCTGGCATCCCAGGGGAGAGAAATGGTTGACAAGAACGTAAGAGCAGCTCACCAATTTTTAACAGGAATGAGTCCAGTAAAATCCTGCTCAGGTTTAATCTCATAATAATGGTAGAATAAATGCAGTGATTGCCCTTGTTAGTCAGAGCCTCGTATTCATGTCCGCATGCTTGCTTGTTTCAGCTGGATAGATTCATCCCAATTTCCAAGCTAAAGTACTACTTTGCTGTGGACACAGTGTACGTCGGGAAGAAGCTGGGCCTTCTAGTTTTCCCATATATGCACGAAGTGAGTCTCTTTACACCTGCTAAATGTCAATCATTCTGGTGGATATGTGTAGAGATTGCTTGTGGTTTTCCATAAATATTTAAGATAAAAGAAGAAACCTGCTATCTTCACATAGACCCAAATATTTAAAAATATGTTTATTTTGGGTCTTACATGTTTGAAAGTAAGTGTGTGATCATGTATGTTGCAGAACTGGGAGGTGAGCTACCAGCAGGACACTCCTGTGGCTCCGCGCTTTGATGTGAACGCTCCCGATCTTTATATTCCTACCATGGGCTTCATCACATACATCCTGGTGGCCGGACTGGCCCTCGGCACACAGAGCAGGTACATCTGCATCCATGTTTTTATCAGAGTGATGCACATTTGAGTATGACCCTAAGCTCCGGTTATGACCATCTTAAACACTTTTTGGAGACTTGTAGTTTTATGTGTTTCTGGTTTAAGCCATTTCATTTTCTTAAAGGCTGTCCTTTTCAAACCTTAAAGCCAAAAATGGAGAACATCACCACAGGTTCATAATAAAGGATTTAGAGTATTCTCTGTTATATTTCTATGGACTCTGTTATTTTGTGCCTTCCTCAGGTTTTCACCAGAGCTGCTGGGAGTTCAGGCAAGCTCAGCTTTGGTGTGGTTAATCATGGAAGTCCTGGTGGTCCTCCTGTCACTCTACCTTGTCACTGTAAACACAGACCTCACCACTATAGACCTGCTGGCCTTTGCTGGCTATAAATATGTTGGGTATGTGTACCTATCGGTGTCATTGTTTGCCTTTTATTACTCTGAATCTGTCAGTGTCATGCCTTAAATGTGTATATCTCTCCTTTTGTTTCTGTAGGATGATTGTAGGCTTAGTGGCGGGCCTTTTGTTTGGGAAGCCGGCATATTATCTGTCTCTGCTGTGGTGCTGTGCTGCCATCTTTGTCTTCATGGTGAGTAAAATTATTTACTTATGTTTAGTAATTTTGTTTTAGTGTACAGATTTTAGGGCAGCACGGTGGCACGGTGGTTAGCACTGTTGCTGCACAGCAAGAAGGTCCCGAGTTCAATTCAACCATCAGACCGGGGTCTTTCTGTGTGGAGTTTGTTGGCCCTGCGACAGACTGGCGACCTGTCCAGGGTGTACCCCGCCTCTCGCCCTATGACTGCTGGGATAGGCTCCAGCGCCCCCTGCGACCATGAAAAGGATAAGTGGAAGCGAATGGATGGATGGATGGATGTACAGATTTTAGTTTTGAAAAATTATTGAAGATGGTTATAGGCTTGAACACATGTCAGACAGCCTTAAAGGTTCATAGATCTAACGTCAAACTGTGCAAATGCATCCTTCTGTATTTTTTAGTACATAATCGCAACAACAACAATAATAATAATAATAATAATAATAATAATAAATTCCTCGTGATTTATTTTTTATTTTTTTATCATAACTTCCTGAAACTTGGGGTAGTCATATTTAAAGATAAAAAGTTAGACAGGTCAGGTACTTTGCAGACTTACGTTTTTTCCACTTGGGGGTGCTGTTGTTAAACGTGGCCGAAGTTTCAGAGACTGCAATAATCCTTTTGAGTCAGACGTTTAGCCTTCAAGTTTTTTTGTATCGTTTGTTTTTCCTGTACTCTTGTTCCACCCTGACTTCTGTTTAGCACAATGTGTGCTGTTTGCATTGGTGAGGCAAGGAGCAGCCAGTCAGAAGAAAAAGACAATTTAGGGAGATGAGTGTTAAAGAAAGAGGCGTTGAAAGAGTTTTTGTGTCCGACAGTTGAACTGAGGGGGTTGTATAACCCACCAGTTTAAGACAGTATAAGATAAATTTGTCTTTTTGCAAAGCTGCTTTGGTGGATGCTCAGGTTAAAAAATCTAGAGCTGCAAATAAAACGTCTTCAAATATCTTTTGCTTGTCTCTCCTCAGATACGCACTCTGCGTCTGAAGCTGTTGTCAGAAGCAGCAGCAGAAGGGAAGCTAGTGAGAGGAGCCAGAAACCAACTGAGGATGTACCTCACCATGGCTATAGCAGCAGCACAGCCCATTTTCATGTACTGGCTCACTTTCCACCTCGTCAGATAAAAACTCCAGCACTTGCACACAGAACTCGTCATCTCACCTGACTAAAATTTGAAAAAAGAAAATAAACACAACATACATATCAGAGAAGCTGGACTTGGATGAAACACACAGCGACATGAAGACTCCACGTACGTGTGGAGCTGAACAACACGCTACAAGACGACTTAGAGAAGATGCGAGTCGTTACCGCCGTTTCACAGCACAGCCATTTCATTAGCATTGCCTTTTTTAAGTCTTCGCAATTTTGTAGCAAGAGCAATTGGCTTTAAGTTTCTTTTTTTCTACTGTGTAATTACTGCTTAATTATGTTTTTGTTTTGTTTTGTTTTTTTAGGAGTATTTATGTATGTATGTATGTTTGTGTACAGCAAGAGTATTATTGCAGATGTTTCATGAGCGATATCTCTGAGCCAAGAAAAAGCGGTAACCTCAGACAGACCGTCCACTTAATAAAAAGAACTCAAATCTGGGTTTGAAAATGATCAACTGGCTCTGCTTGAACGTTTGGACGATGAAAGCTTTTCCCCTTCTAATGTTTTTTTTTTTTTTAATGGCTGTAATTGTCCAGCAACATGAGTAAAAACATCTATCTGGAAACCAGGGTTACCCAGCTCGTCTAGAAATGTCATATAATGTCTAACCCCCATTGTTCACACACTATTGATTCTGAAAATATATATATTGTATAATTCACCCTGCTCCCCCCAGTGACGTCTGCGCTGTTCCCTCCCTCTGCCCCCCTGCAGGACGTCTCTACAGGAGAAGAGTTAAAGTTTGAACACCAGAGGCAACAAATGTGGTTAAGTTTAAAGATTAGGGGTTGTTGTGTAGTGCATTCACCTAAAGCCCTTTTATTTCAGTCATCTATGCTGTTGCTAGCAGATTTCCATGGTTACCTGTAGTTTGCATGAAAGATGGTGACTTACCTGCGAACACTTGCCACCTACTAGTGGAGAGGCAATAAAACTTGAAAGTGTGCAACACAAACAAGAAGCGGATAATGTTTGCTTTCAAAGTAAACGTAACCTAACTTAACTTTGAAAGAAAGTGTTTCCGGTTTGCTTTCTACTTTTCACATTTTCGCTAATACTCCACAAGTACTTTGTTACTGTTTGCAGCCATTAGGTGTCATACAAACTGTGGGCAACAATGGCAATCTGCTTGGAGTCAAGCACCCAAAGGGTTTCGGTCTTTGCGATTAATTTCACCTTGAGAGTGCCACTAGCCTCCCGAAACCACTCACCAACCAGCCACTGAATGCACACTTTTCCCTAGCAAAACATGTATTACACTTCAGAATCGCATTCAAATGATAGCTTTCTGCATTTTTCAGAAATTAGATGTATTCAGCTTATTGAGAACTCCTATCAATGTTAACCAGTTTGATTCTTATAACAAAAATAAATACTCTTCTCCCTAGCAAAAAACAAACAATAACACTGGAAAATATAATAAGTAATTTTATCGTATCAGATGAACTGCAAAAGAAATTTCCCTCGTACC